ACTAATTTTTAAATAAAGAATACAACTGTAAAACAGCCAAATGGAAGAGATGTATGGGGCAAAATATGGGGGTTGGGGTGGTGGGTGAAGAGCCCATGCCCTCTGGAATTGCCATACCCAGCATCTTGATGTGTTCACCAGCCCTCAACTGTAGGGTTTATGGAAGGCTCATTACTTAGCCATGATTATTTAAGCCATTGGCCATTGCCAATTAACTCAATCTCTAGTCCCCAGAGGCCAGGGGGTGGGGCTAAAAGTTACAACCCTCTAATTTTGTCTTGGCCTTTGTTGTGGCCAGTTTGTATGTGAAGCTATTTAGGACCCTCTGGCCACCAGTCATCAGCATACAAAAGACCACTGAGATTCCAAGGGTTTTAGGAGCTGTGTACAAGGAACAAAGACCACTTATTTTTTATTATATCACACATATATGAGTTATTTGTTAACTATATGCATAAACTTTTAAAAAACCACAGAATTCAACCAGGGAAATTTGAAGATTTAATTTGCTTTGTTAAGTGATTCATGAATTGAGCAGGATCCCATCCAGCAAGAAGGGTACTCAGGTTGTACAAAATGGAAGATTTTTATAGGAAGAAGAGTGGGGCAGGAGAATTATTAGCAAAAGAAAGGGGAAGGTGCCCTGACCAGCGTGGCTCAATTTGTTGGGCATCACCCCACAATGTGAAGGGTCACCAGTTTGATTCCTGGGTTTCTCTCCCTTTCTAACTCCCTTGCCCTCTCTAAAAAGAAGTATATAAAATCTTAAAAAACAGGAAGGCAAGGGTTTTTATGTAGATTGCCTTTTCTTTCTCTGGGGGTGGGGAAGGGAGAGGGCCCATGTGACAGATTATGTCATTGGCATTGACCAGAAAATTCCAGAGTGGTTAAGATTACATTTCTGGTAAAGTCAAAACTTCAGTTTGGTAAGTTAATAACTCTAGGTTTAGTATCATGGGCATTAGGACAAGTGATGCCATTTTGGGCCTATGGTTTTTTCTTTATCAGTTGACACTACTATTCTCATATGTTGTATATTAATACACAGAAGATTGAAAAGGAGCTGAAATTTAAATAATAGGTTACATATTGAAAATGCAAACTTTTGCTCTTACCAAAATAAATTATTACTAATATTTTAAGGTGGGTAATGTGCTTGAATATCTATTATTAAAAAATCTTGGTGGTAACATTGATTCAGCAATTCATACTTGGCATCTAAATCCAGCTCCCCCTTTCCCTATGTAGACTTTATCAGTTCCTTCCATCAAGCATAGGAATGTTTTTTGAAATCAGCTGATGTTTAAAAAAAGGCCTCAGCCTCATACAATTTATTTGCCTGCCAGGAAACTTTAGGGGCCTGTATACATTTGACTGGAATTGAGGCATAAGTCCTAGATGTACAGTCATGCACTGCATGTTTTATTCAATGACAGACTGCATATATGACATGGCACCATAAGATTGTAATGGAACTGCCTGGCTGGTGTAGCTCAGTGGATTGCGTGCAGGCTTGCGAACCAGACAATTGCGGTTCGATTCCCAGTCAGGGCACATACTGGGGTTGCAGGCCAGTTCCCAGCAGGGGATGCATGAGAGGCAACCATACATTGATGTTTCTCTCCCTCTCTCCTTCCCTTCCCCTCTAAAGATAAATAAAATCTTTAAAAAAAATAAAAGATTGTAATGGAACTGAAAAATCCCTATTGTATAGTCACAGCTAGCCTAAAACATTACTGAGGCGTTTGTGGTAATGCTGGTGTAAACAAAACTACTATGCTGCTAGTCCTATAAAAACATATAGCACATACAATTATATGTAGTAAATAATTATTGATATTAATAATTAGGTTACTGCTTTATGTATTTCCTATTAACTATTATTTTATGTATTTATTTTTGATTTTATTAATTTTTTTAGAGAGGGAGGAGAGAGAAACATCAATGTGTGGTTACCTCTCACGCCCCCCTACTGAAGACCTGGCCTGCAACCCAGGCTGGTGCCCTGACTGGGAATCGAACCGGTGACCTTTTGGTTTGCAGGCCAGCATTCCATCCACTGACTCACACCAGCCAGGGCACTATTTGCCATTATCTTAAAGTGCACTCTTGCTACTTATAAAAAAAGCTTGCTATAAAACAGCATGTTGTTAGGCTGGGAGCAGCCTCGTACACCTCATGTTTACATGTTTTGATTGTATCATGTTCTCTTGGGCTTGACTTAATCCTGCTTTGTTTTATACATTTAGTGTAGCCTAAGTGCACAGTGTTGATAAAGTCTACAGTCCTGCACAGTAATACCCTGGGCCTTCACACTCGCTCACCACTGACTCACCCAGAGCAACTTCCAGTCCTGCAACCTCCATCATGCTAAGTGCCACATACAGGTGTACCACTGTATATCTTTTTTAAAAGATTTTATTTGTTTATTTTTAAAGAGAGGGGAAGAGAGGGAGAGACTGATGTGAGCGAGAAATATTGATTGGATGCCTCTCACGTGCACCCCGACTGAGGACTGAAGCTGATACCCAGACATGTGCCCCAGCCTTGTAACACAGCACCCAGCTGGTCAGGAACATTCTATATCTTTTATACCATAATTTTACTGTAACCATGTGTTATCTACAGTATTCAGTTCTGTGACATGTTGTCCAGGTTTGTAGCCTAGGAGCAGTACTCTGCACCATAGACCCTAGGTATGTAGTAGGCTGTACCATCTAGGTTTGTGCAAGTGTACTGTGATGTTCATGCAACAATGAAACTGCCTGACAACACATTTCTCAGGATGTTTCCCCGTCATATGGAGGCGAATGACTTTCTTACTGGAAAACAAAATGGTTCTTGTTTGTGTATTATGACAATTTTGGTGGGGGAAATGCCTGCACACAGTAAACTATTCAAACTCTAAGGAAGGCAGGAATTTTTAAACTGGCTTCATGGATAGAATTCAGATGTCTGAATGCAGACAACAAACTGCACAAGTATTAGCAGTACCCATGACTTTGTCACTGATAGAAATCACCACTAGATCCTACTTAATATAGTAACATGTATATTTTTATATTTATATATAAAGCAATTTTAAAACTTTTGATTACTATATTTCAGTATAATTGGCGTCCTTTGTAATCTTATGTATTTTATTCATTTAAAATCTTTCTGAGAAGGGATCCACAGGCTTCGGCATGAGGCAAAAAGTCTCTGACCTGTCCCTTCCCCAGTTCTGTATTGCCATTTCCAGAGACAGTCTATGTGTAAGCATTAGTATGTTTTTATATTTTTACTGAAATGGTAGTATACTGTATACAGTTTGCGCCTTAGTTTTTTTTTTTTTACACAGCTGCATACTATTCTATTGAATGGACATACCACATTTATTATCTATTGATGGACATTCAGTTTTTTTCCAGATGATGCTGTAACAAATATCCTTGTACCTTTTATACATGTGATTACATCCATAGGATAAATTCCAAGAAATGGAGTTGCTAGGTCAAAAGGTATATTCATAATGTTTTAAAGTTTTTTAAATCCTCACCCAGGGGTACATTTATTGATTTTAGAGAGGGGAAGGAAAGAGGAGAGAGGGAAACATTGATGTGAGAAACATTGATCAGTTGCCTTCTGTACATGCCTCAACTGGGAATCACACCTGCAACCTAGGTATGTGCCCTGACCTGGACTCAAACCTGTGCAACCTTTCTGTGCACAGGACAATGCTCTAACCAACTGAGCCACACTGGCCATAACTATAATTAGATGGGTACTGACAAAATGTTCTCCATAGAGGTTATAACAGTATACATTTGCACTATTAATGAACGAATACCTGTTTCCCCATACCTTCACCAACATTAAATAGGTTAAAAATGGGATCTCATGTTGGTTTCAATTTGTAATTATTTTACTACAAATGAGGTTTTTTAATGTTTTACTCTTTAAGCATTGAACTTAATGAAAAAGATGCAGTTTCAAAGCAGAACTGAATGCTTATGCCATGTGTATAAATCCTTAATTTTTTCACTTACCAACTTCTTCAGAACCTTGTCAGTCAAAAGTTAACTTCCCAAAGGTTTACTTGGTGTCAGAGGCCCATTCCTACCCCACTTCCTCACAAGCTAGCTGTAACTGTCATGCCACAAAAATTACTTTGCTTTTTTTAGCAATCCAACTTCCTTCCTTTGTGGGTGACATACATGCAAAAGGCATGCACTTAGTATCCTGGGTAGGACTTTAGCTTGGGAGCATCTCCTGCATATACAGCTTATCAGAATTTCATTGAAGATTTTCAGAATTGATGGCCCTTATTTATATATATATTTTAAAGATCTTATTTATTTATATTTAGAGACAGGGGAAGGGAGGGAGAAAGAGAGGGAGAGAAACATCAATGTGGGGTTGCCTCTCATGTGGCCCCCCACGGGGACCTGGCCCAAAACTCAGGCATGTGTCCTGACTGGGAATCAAAGCAGCGGCCCTTTGATTTGCAGCCCATGCTCAACCCACTGAGCTACACCAGCCAGGGCTTATATCTTTTTAAAAAAGATTCTGTTTATTTATTTTTAGAGAGGGACAGGGAGGGAGAAATAAGGGGAGAGAAACATCTATTGGTTGCCTGTTGCACACCCCCAACCCGGGATCTGACCCACAACACAAGCACGTACTCTGACCAGGAATCAAACTGGCAACCTTTCGATTTGCAGGCCAGCACTCAATCCACTGAGCCATACCAGCCAGGGCTGATAGCACTTATTTAGAGACATTGTTTCAAATGTGGTTTTTAATGCAGTTTCATCTTATACCTACTATTTTGAATACGTCTATCATACTGATATATCTGGATCCCAGGGGCACCCTTTAGTCTGCTCGGTGGGGAAAAATAAGAAGGTATAGCCTGCTGGGGTGCTCAGAAACCCTTCCAAAATGGGAAACTTAAGTCTGGAGGTGAAGTTGCAACTATGTAGCATAATGTGGGAATGTCAAATGAGTATCAAGAATCACATAGTTGTGTTGGTGAAGTTTCATTTTATTTATCTATTAATTCATTTAAGTCTTCGCCTGAGGATATAAATATGGAATTATAAATTTAAAAAATGTAGACACACAAAACATTAGTCCTGGGAAGGATGGTCATATATAAACTGTACATTTGAAGATGAGCAAATGTTTCTCATTTGCTCCCTTTAACCAACACTTGGTGAATGGCTGCTCAGTCTAGTACAAACACCCAGTATAAGAACTGAGTGCCTCCCCTCCCCCCAATAAACATTTATTTTAAAACACAGGAGTTAATGTTGAATGGCCATTTGTGTTCCATGTACTATGTTAAGACAGTGGAGCTAATAATTGTCCTGGCAGATCACAGTTGACTAACATATAAAAGAAGTGTTGTCTAGGAACCCATGTTATGATTTTCATATGCTAATCTGTCTTTTTGCTGCCCAATTCAATGTGTGAATAGTGGGAGCTGATACCTGACTCCCCTAGAGATGGTTTCTACATTAACTTATGGATATACTGAGAATCAGATAAATTAGTTCTGGGAGGAAAAGAATGACAGGTTAAAAGGAGTCTGCTTGATCCATCTTTGAGAACCACTGACTGAATACCTACTGTAGTGTATAGCAACCTCTACCCACCCAATTTTGCACTTACAAAACCACAATAACAGAGTTCATAAAATATAAGGATTATTTAACATCTTTTAAAGAAATAAACAGAATGTATAAAATACATTCTGTATTCCACACAATTTTATTTTCTCCCTTCAACCATAATGATATGATATCCAAATTTTGTCTTAACTGGAGGGTCTGTAAACACAGGTTTGTCCAGGCCGCTTACAGGTAAAGCAAATGCTGCTTCTTGAAATGGTCCCACCATGGACCCTCTGGTCATCCAACCCAGGTCACCCTGAAAAACCCAAAAGATACGTAATGTCAAATGGCTCTGCAGAGGGAACAGTTCTACTGTAGCTTGAATGCTAAGGTTCCTACGTTTCTTCATTTGGGCTGTAAAGAAGTAGGCTAGACAGGACAAACGGACAGAAGTCCTACTCTGCACTGAATCCACAAGCAGTCACAATGTTGCTGGGTATCTGTGAGCTGTGCGATTTTGGTCATACCTAAGTTTAGATATAAGTGACCCACATTCAACTATTTACAAGTTGGACATTTCTGTTTTTACGATCTTTAAACCAAGATATGGCTAAAATTGATGGCAAAATGTAGAAATAATCCTGAGTGTTGGAGGACAGATTATATTAAATGATAAGAATAACATACCCCCTGCCTGGCTTTATCTTCACTATATTGTGTGGCCACTTCATTGAATCTCATTCCAGACTTTAACTTTTCCAAGGCTTCCATGATTTTTCCATGTTTCTCACACAGAATATGCCGGACCTACAAGGAAAAAATATGTTTGTATAATAATACCTGGAGATCCAAATGAATCATTTATTCACAGTACAGTAGTCAGTACACAGTAGACTGAGAATCCAACCAGCGACCCTTTGGTTCACAGGCCGGTGTTCAGTCCACTGAGCTGCACCAGCCAGAGCACATTTTTAAAAGGAATTACTTTTCGTAAGTGAGATTGGTCTATAATTTCCAATTGTATGTTATCTTGATTTTTCTATCAATGTTGGCCTGTTTCCTTAGAATGAGTTAAGCAAACTGTCTTTGCCTTTTATGTGCACCAAAGTAACACATGCACATATGTTATTTACATTTAACAGGGAAAAAAGGAACTAGTAACTCACCTTTACTGCATTGCCACCACCTTTGGGACCCTGAGACTTCTTGTCAGAACTGTCACTCCCAGATGCTGCTCCCCCTTTAGAGAAGAGATGACAAGTACTCATTTAAACTGCACCTTGATTACAGAAAGGTCCAAATAACAGGAGTTGATACTTGTCACAGCACCAAGTTTCAAAAAGGAACTCTGCCAGACACTTAACTACACCAAGCTAAATTATGTACGACTCACTCCCATTTTTACAAAAATATGGAACACTTCACGAATTTGCGTGTCATCCTTGTGCAGGGGCCATGCTGATCTTCTCTGTAACGTTCCAATTTTAGTGTATGTGTTGCTGAAACAAGCACTTATTTCTCTTAAAATGGGAAATTTGTGCCCCACATAAATCCTTTACTGGAAAATACGTACATAGGTGAGTGTGCTGGTGACTGAATCAGTCCCAGAAGCCGGGTACAGTTGTCTGGATCCAGTTTGATGTCCTGCCTTCTAAGTGAAAACCCCTGATCTCTTGTAAAATTTCTAATAAGCACTGCAACTACATATTAGAGTACTCAAAATTCTAATATGTAAAATCTCTAGGAATATATTTTAAATAAAGATCAAATTCCCTACCACCCATAACTGGCTAAAGAATACATTTATGTCCAAATTCCCAGAGTCTGCTACATTGCTAATTGATAGCTTCCTAAGTTATCAGTATTCAGATTAACGACCACTGGCAGAGACCACTGGCAGAAACTTACGTTTTACTAGTATATCATTTTACTACATTGTCTACTTCTGTGCTGATGGCAATATACTTACTGTTAGAGGCTGATTTTCCTAAGAACTATTGCTGGATTAAATGTTCAGGTCAATAAACATTTTCTAAATAAGTACTAAGGTCCAGGCACTGGGAATATAAAGATGAATAAACCATGGTACCTTTCTTCACAGGGCTCATTTGCTCTCAGATATGCAAACAGATCGTTTCAGGAGAATGATCTATGACCTATGAACACGGGGCTGTGGAAGCACAAAGGGACATTTCAGCCAGTCAGGGAAGGCTTCCTGGATGTATGGGTACTGACCAGGTAAAGAAAAAGCAAGGATGAGGGGATTCTCTATGGTGGAAGAACAGGAAGGTATGTGTTGAGAACTATGGACAAAACATAATCTGAGGTGGGAGTGCTGTGAGATGAGCCCAGGGGATGTGGCTGAGGGTTAGGGCATGAAGGCCTTTAGGTCCCATTAAGGAACTTGGAATTTATCCTTGAAGTAATAGGGAGCCATTGAAAAGTTTTAATCAGGACACTCCAACATACATGTAGCTCCAAAGGCTAGCACAGTGCCTGGCACACAACACTTGTTCAATAAATTTCAACTAAACTGAAAAACAAAATACTGTACTGACCACCAAATGCTGAAGTATGTATTACTGTTGAAGGATTTTCACCACATCAAACTCCTCTTTAAAATTTAAAGACCAGGGAAGGCAGGGAGAGAGGGAGAGAAACACTGGTGTGTGAGAGAAACATTCATCTGTTGCATCTCACACAGCCCGACCACACAGTCCACAACCCAGGCTTGTCTGCTGACTGGCAATCAAAGCGGTGACCTTTCAGTTAGAAGGCTGAGGCTCAATCCACTGAGCCACACCAGCCAGGTCTACATCAAACTCTTAAGTGGATCTGTTGCATAGTCACATTGAATGATGATGCCTTATGGTTATCCTATCCTCTCCCCAACTGGATGCTGTCATCTTCTGACTGTCACCTCACTCTCTTTGACTGAAGACTTTGGCATCAGCTTCAGGCTTCCTTTCCACTCTCACTCCTGCCATCATCTTAGATGAGCTCACTATCTACACTGAGGAGTCATCCAACAACCTAACTGCATATTTCTGGACCTCCTTCCCAAATGTGTTTCTACTCCAGGCCACTTGCTCCCAGAGGCACATGATGAAACCGTGCTGCTCACAACTAGTAGTTCAGTCTCTGGCTCCAACTTCCTGTTCTTCCAGCTTTCTTATGCCTCATTCCCACAACACTGGCTCTTTGACTTTACAGAAACCACCCCGACCTTCAGTCCCTTTATCCAGCTATGTTCCCCTACGATTTCAGACTTCTCCTTCCCTTCCCAGTCTGGAATCCATGCTTGATCGTCTGAACTTCATCCCTTCCCACTAGCACCATTAATTCCCTTGGGTTGCTACCCTTCTAGTATCATTGCCCAACAAAACCTCAACCTTGGCTCAAGGCTATACCTAACTCTTTTCAATCCCATATTGTGCCAATTGCCTGGAAGTAGGTAAATCACGACTGTGCAGAAAGTGTCCTCTACAAATTCATGGCCTTCAATCTTTGGCTGTCAGCCCTCAGGGCAATCCTTTTATTAGTCCTTCATCCCTCCTCACATCACCTTCAGAGACTATTCCAAATATTTACCACTTTCAAGACTCCTACTGAGTCCCTGGCCCTCAGCCTTAAAAATTACCCTTGCCTTCCACTTTATTAAGATTAATAACTTGAGGCCACTGATGTGGCTCATAGGTTGGTCATCATCCCACAGACCCAAAGGTCGCCAGATGGATTCTGGTCAGGGCACATGCCTGGGTTGAGGGGCCAGATCCCCAGCTAGGGGTGTTCGAGAGCAACTGATGGATGTTTCTCTCCCTCCCTTCTCCTCTAAAAATAAACAAAGTCTTTAAAAAAGGAAACTGAGGCCATTAAGTACAATCTCCTACGAACTCCACCCCTTCCTCACTCTCCGGCCCCAATTTTTACAACCACACCCATCCCCATCTTTGTCCTTGTGGCCTCAAGCATCAGGACTCTTCAAAGCTCAACTGATTCATCTCTGCCCCGACCCCGTTTTCTCCTAAATCTCACTCCTCTGTAACTTCACCTCTGAAACTCTACTGGATCCTTCACGTCAGCCTCACTCCTAAGTTTTCCCCAAACAAAATTTTCCCTTAGTCCTTTGTCCTCTTCTACCTACCACGTAATTCCTATGCTTTTTAAAAGAAAAGATTTTATTTATTTTTAGAGAGAGGTGAAAGGAAGGAGAAAGAGAGGGAGAGAAACATCAATGCGCGGCCGCCTCTCACACGCCCCCCACCGGGGACCGGCCGGAAACCCAGGCATGCACCCTGACGGGAATCAACCGCCAACCCCCTGGTTTGCAGGCCAGCGCTCAATCCACTGAGCCACGCCAGGCTGCTCCATGTTTTTTAAATTAAAGCTTTCCGGCGAAGCCCACAACAATCACTTCCGGGTCACTGACCACCCGCTGCCTCCGTCCCGGACCCCGGGGATCACCACTCGGGTCCCATCCCTATTACCCGACCCCTTTCTCCCTGGTTGCTCTGGCGACTCTACCTTTCCCTCCTTTTCCAGAACCGCTTTTCCCTTTAGGCGGCATCTGCGAAACTTGACATAGAATTCCCCACAGTAAAAGTTGCCGAACAAAGCCCCTTCAAGCCCCCCGGGCTTGTCCCACACAAATGCCTGAAAGCGGCATTAAAATGGACCCTTTTTGCTGCGGCTCCGGAAGCAGGCATATCTTGGGGCAGGCCCAGACCTTTGGCACTTGGACAAACTTGGCTGAAGGTGTCTGACCAATAAGAAGCTTGGGCTGGGGCGGGGCCCAAGTTATGCGAGGCAGGAAACCCCGCCTCTGCGCTTTTTGTTCCATCTTTCACACTCCCTTATTTGCGCGAACCCCGCTCTCCTATTTCCCGGCTTCCCCAACCCTACACCCTGTACGCCTGCGTAGTGAAAGCCGAAGACCTCTGCAATCTCTTGGCGCCAACTCTAGCCAATCCCGCGTGGTCCCCAGACAAAGGGGAAAGCGGGAAGAGCCTCTGTGGCTGCCCCTCCTCCTGCCATCGCTACATACTAGCCCGCCCACCCTTGCAATTTTTCATGTCTAAGTTTTATTTTGCAGCTGTAGCTGATTGGGTTCAAAGGATAGTTTTTAAAAAAGGCTCTCACCCCTCTTCCTCTTGCAGAACTCTCATGAAGAAAAATTGGAAGCTGTAGAACATTGCTTAAAAAAATAATGTTTCAACCACAGAAAAAGATGTGTGCCATTTACAATAATGAGAGTAACACTGTCTGTATAGACATGGGAAATGACTTTAAGGAAGATTACTAACCAAGCTATAGAATATTCCCTTTTTTTAAAGTATACAGTGTACTATATAATTATGCATATAAAGGACAGGAAGGCTACTTAGCAAAATATGACCAGTGGTGCAAGCACAGGTTCTTGTGTATGTTCCTGTGTATTTTCCAAAATTGCCATAATGGTGCAGCATAGTATAGTAGTTAAAACCATGGATTCTTGAGCCAGATGCCTGGTTTCAAATCCCTTCTGTACCATCTGGCCACTAGCTCTGTGACGGTGAAGTTACTTCAGTCTCTTTGGCTCAGTTTCATCATCTGTAAAATGGACTTGATAATAGTAATACAGGGTGCAGCCAGGGGGGCCCCCCAAAAAAAGATTTAGAAAGGTGTCCAGAATTCAAAGTGTATAGAAATATTGGAGAGACATATAAGATGTCCTCACCGCCCCCACCCCCAGGGGGAAGGGATGAATGGAGCCAGGCCATTGAGAGCTGTTTTGCATAGCAACAGTTTTGCAGCTAACCTCTGGAATGATTATTTAACATATCTATAACCTTTAACTGGTTTCATAGATATGTTAAATAGCTGTGGCCAAGTTTGGAGGCAGAAGGGAGAAGGTTGTGGCGGGGACTCAGGAGAATGTAACTAAGGGCTGCTCTCCTGAGTGAGTGGACTGGGACTCAGGAGAATGTAACTAGGGTCGGCGCTCCTGAGAAGGGAGAAGGTGGTGGCAGGGACTCAAGATGGAAGTAGCAGGAGGACTCAAGATGGGAACTGAGAGGCTGCTCTCCTGAGTGAGAAGGTTGTGGCAGAAACTCAGGATGAAAACTAGGAGCTGCACTCCTGAGGGGGAAGGTTGTGGATGGGGACTCAAGATGGAACTAGCAGAGACTCAGAATGTAACTAAGGGCTGCTCTCCTGAGTGAGTGGACTGGGACTCAGAAGGATGTAACTAAAGTCTGGACTCCTGAGTGAGAAGGGCTTAGGGACTGAGGATGGAACTTGGGGAACTCAAGATGGAAACTAGGGTCTGGGCTCCGGAGTGAGAAGGCCTGTGTGGGAGCTTGGAAAAGACTGGCTCCAGGACATGAAGGGTCCCCGCTTGGCCAGAAGAGGGAGAGCCACGCGGTTTCAGCGGAGTGAGGACCCCCTCTTGGTGAGGTGAAAGAGGGAGCCACGTGGTTTTGGCAGGGTGCGGACCCCTCTTTCCCAGGTGAAAGGGAAAAACCACGCAGCTTTGCCAGAATGGAGATCCCTGCAGCCAGGTGAAGAAGAAAGCCACATGCTTTTGGTGGAGTGCGGACTCCTGCAGCTTTGGTAGAAGAGGCCCACGCAGCTTTGGGGTGCCCCCTTTGGCCGCGTGGCCTGAAAAAGCAAGAGAGACTTTGACTGGAACTGGGTACAAAGAACTCTTGCCAGTGGACCATGAGAGGGTACCACAGTACTTTGGATTAACTCGAGATCCTGCACAGTGACACAGCTGATGACACCAGCAGCCTGAAAAAGGGACGTGTGCTCTTTTCCTGATTTACGGTACCCGGAGTTGGGACAGTGGGAGAAGGGAGCGCTGTGTGGGTGTAGGTGTATACCCTAAAATACTTTGATATTTTAGTGGTGGCATTAGGCCTGAGTAGCATTAAATAAACATTTTGTTTCCTTTTCACAAATCTCTGGCATTAAGAGATGTCTTTCCAATTGGCGGCGGACAGAAGGGCCCAGTAGATTTTAGTATTCTGTTTTTGGGAGGGGCCCCTGTTGTATAGCAGTTTTGGGCATCCCTAGGTGGGCCAAATATTGTATTGCCCCTCCCTCGGACCTCCTCTTGTTCGGTAACAATAGTACCTACTTACAAGATGTTATGAGAATTAAATAAGTTCATATTTATAAAGCACATAAAACAATGACTAGTTCATAGAGTATTAGCTTAAGATAAATGAGTTTTCAATTTGTGTCCTCACACTTTCTCCCCTAACCTGCAACCCCTTCCCCCCAATTTATATATAAGGTCAGGGCTTTTCCTCTACTCCACAAGATAGCTGTGCCAGCTTCCACTGCCACCCAGAACCTATAGGTGGTTCAGCTCAGAGTTTAGATTTTGGAAACAGCCTTGATGGACTGGGATGTTTTGTGCTGACACCAGTGCGTCAGGTATTTCTGAGACCATGCCCACCTCCATCTCATACATAAGAGACAGCCCCCTCGTTTTGTGCTGCTGTGATTTCCGGACAAAGCACATCTTGGGTACACCTTATTTCAGATTGGGAGTGATCAACTGTGGGGAGCATACCTAGAGCAAAAGGGATCATTGCTCCCCCACTTCTGAGGTAGATCCCATAGAAGCCACATACTGACCTGCCAAGTCCAACTGGGAGATGTGGGGTGGGCTTTGACAATGGCAGTGTGGCCTGATGTTCATCGGCTCACCCACAGCCAGGACACCTAGGAGGCCCCTTTACTTGTGGGTGTTCATACGAAACAGCCTTTTTTGAGACCACTGGCTCTGTAGTCTTGGTATGGGAGTGAAGCAGAGTTCAGGTCCCAGTGAAGAGCCGGTGTTTAATGGCTGATGTGCTTAGCGTAGGGAACATTGTGAGAGCTCCGTGCAGTACAGTAGACAACAGCAGCAACAATAATAAGCAAGCCTGTGCAAGAGGCTGAATTTGCCCAAAATAGTGCTTAAAGGACCAAAACTCAAAGTAGAAAAAGATAGCCACAAATCTGTGGGAGGGGTTTTGGGGTTAAAATCACTTTAGGGACAGACACAAAATCATGTTCGATATCAACTATGCAGTGTATGTCATAAAAATATGAGGAGGGAAATATCATAAAATCTTGTGTTCTGGAATATGAGTTTGTGGCTAATTTTCATTTTTTCCTGTTCATATTCTGTTTATGTCAACTGGCATATTTTTTTACTACCAAGAAAAAAGGCAATAAATGTTATTTGTGAAACACAAAGAAGCTAGCTTCTATACAGGTTTAAGTCTGAACCAGTCTGTGGAGGCCAACTGTGGAGGAGTCTGTGGAACAGAGTGACAAATGAACAGAAGAACAGGAAGGGGGCAGAGAGGAGAAGACTTCAGCCTTGAAACCATGGTAACGACTGCAGGAGTGTGCACAATGAGTCAGAGCCAGGAATGGCTGCCAGTTGTATTTTCTATTAATTATCTCCTCAAACTGATTCTTCCATGCATTTCTTAAACAAGCAAAAGCAGGAAGGGAAGCTGGCAGCTCTCTTCTCAGGAGAGAAGTTCACAGACCTTCACCCAGAGTTACTGTTCTGCCCAATCTGCTCTACAACCAAAGGGCTGTAGTGTCTTTTCCGTTTGAGATCCCAACAGAGCTTATTCTGAAAAGGTTGCTTGAAGCAACAAAACAGCAATCTAGTTGATCTCATTCAGAGGTAGTCAATGTATGGGGAGCTCTAGGTCCCAGACTCTGGGGACAGGGATAGAAAAAGGCCACCCTTTGGAAATTGAAACCAGGAAAAATAAGTACATGGTGGATGAGATTAGCCACCTGCAAAAGTAGCCACCCATTATGGCAAATGGATTTGGGTATATTGCTGATTGGATAGATGCAGCTCCTGAGCCTAGTCAGTGGCTGAAGAACTTTCTGTCCTTCATGATGTTGTTAAATGCCCTCCATGATGTTGTTACATGCCCTCCATGGGATAATGGAGCTTTGAACAACTGATTTTTAAGAAAGGGATTTACCAAAGAACTTATATGTACAACCCATGGACATGAGCTAAGGGGGCGGGAGTGCTGAAGGGTATACAGGATGGAGAGGGATAAAGGGGAGAAAAAAATTGGGACAACTGCAATAGCATAATCAATAAAATATACTTTAAAAAAAGAAAGGGCTTCAGAGAAGGTTCTATCTATGTTTATCCAGCATTGTCTAAGCAAAAGAGCTGCAGTTTCTTAAGGCACTAATATTCCAGTATCTAGTGAAATGGATTTTGTCGAAGGCAGTGTTCATTTGAGACAATGGAAAACAGCCAACACAAATAGCATATGTAGCATGACCCTGGAGCTTTCCCTTCACTATCTCTTTTAGTTTTCACAAGTCTTGTTACAGAGATCACCATTGTCATTTTAGAGCTGAAGAAACAAGCTCAGAGAGGTTAACAAATGTTTTACAGCTAAGGACTGTGGCAGGGTTGGGCTCTGAACTCAGGTCTGTCTGACTCCCAAGCTGGTACCCTTGCTTTTTAAGGGATGATGACTTACTTTGCCATCCCCTAAATGAAATCCATGAACACCCAGTTCCCTTTGTTCTGAGTGTATGTTTCCCAAGTCAGCTTCCCAGGGATCTGAGGCCTCACAAGGGAACACAGTACTCAAGAAGTGTCAAGGCCAAGTTACTCAGCCACCATGGGACAG